AATCTAGCGCCAGAGTATCGCTATGGTAAACAAATACTAGAGTGAATTTTAAAGAATGCATTTATTCTATTGTGGTTTATGCGCTGTCGGCGAAGTAGATTTAATTCAATCCAATAAGTTGAAATGAAATACAAGAAAAAATGCGTATAATTTCATATTCCAATTTAAGATTCCAATACAAGGAAGTCATGTGGTGTACACATGAGATTTTTTTTACGAAGAAACCCGAAAGATACATGTGCAATTCTCTTATCTTTTCAATTCGAAGATTTTGCCCAGGCTTTCGAACAATTGTATACAAAATTGACAAAGCGATAAGGGGAACAGTATGCGTGTTGGGGAAATGCTTGAAAAATAAATAGTTTTGCAAAGAGGGTGCGTTGTATTCAATGCAGCTGTGCACAAAAATGCTATTCTAGTGTTTTGAGAAAAGGGGGACATTATTTGAGGTAGTATGCACTTCCGACCCGAAGGAATTCGCGGAATTAGTAGTTAGACTGTTTTCTCTGTCCGTAATCACTTAACCCTTCGCGGCACAGTGTGTCCATTCTAGACACACCTAAAAATTTCCTTCTGTACGCACAGAAAAATTGAATGAAAAAGGATTTTTAGGTTACTATAGGTTACTCTGAACCTTCTTTATTTATAGTAGATGGCAACTCAACACAAACCTGCCCATATATCTTAGCCATGTTTAGTTTTTTAAGACCCCCATTTTTCAAAGAAATCTTCCAGATTTTTTTTAGGGTATAAAAGGAATTGTTTGAAAAGAAATTTCTATGTTATTTTTTTGGCTGTATGTTAATCTCCTTATTCTATATTAGTTTACAATTTTTACCTTGAAATCTTGCCTAAAATCAAACGGCGAACCCTAGGTGTGCCCAGACCGGGCTCGCCGATAATATAAGACAACTAAAAAGTCTGTATTCTTTGTTTCTCCGCATCTCATCGACCAGTTCATTGACAACAATGCTCGTTTCAGCACGCTTTTCGAAGCTGTATTCAATCAGTGTGCCACTTTGGGCACACCCACAGAATTAAAACGATAAGTGCTATCTTCACAAAATTTTACTTGTGTACTCTTCTAGGCCTAAGTAGACTGCCTATCTTTTTTTAAAATTAAAACTCCGACTTTAAAAGGTAGCGTGCCGGAAAGGGTTAAAGCCGCGATTTTGAAGTGAACATAGAAGGCAAGGAAGGGAAAGAAGACCAAATGCGTCATACCAACTTAGAGTCGCATGAGTACGTGAGTCGATAATAAAAGCATGGAATGAAATTAAACCCGATGTAATTCATATATCATTTAAAAAATGTAATATAGCTAACAATCTAGATGGAACGGAAGATGGTTATTTATTTATGAATCAGAGTAACAGTGATGATGAAGATGAAACAGAATTCAGTGATGTGCCTGAAGTTACAACGAAAGACGAATATGATGAACTTATTATGTTATCAGATAAGAAAATTTTTGAGTTCTTAAGGAATGTCATTTCTTTTAATCAAAACAGCATTTAGGTATGCGCAGAAATCTAATTTTTGTATGCTCATTTTTTCCTTATTTTTAAATCTGTCATTTTTATATTCGGCGTATAACGTGTAACAGTAAATTTCAATCTTATATTTTGTATTAAAAGTGTGGTTACAGCCGAAAACACCGCGACAAAAACATCGCAGAGAAAACAACGCAAGGCGAAAACGTCGTGATACAAAGCATCGTGGGAAAAAAGAAAGCAAAGAGAAAACATTGCAGTTCTAAAACATCGTAGTACAAAATATCGTCGTCGAAAATAAAGTGGTTCAAAAACTTCGCAGTTTAAAAACATCGTCGTCGAAAATATCGTGGTAAAAAATAAAGTACCTACAAATTATCGCATGATGATAACATCGCAGACATGATTTTTTTTAAGGCTTTAATAATTGCAAATGGATATTCGCATAATGATTTGTGTGCTAAATAGAAATAATTTTCACATTCATATTTTTTATTAATTAATACATTTTTAAAAAAGCAAAACAAGAAATTTAAATAAAACAAGAAGTAATTTTTATTATAAGAGTATCAGATTAACAAAAGTAAAGAAAATTATCTCATAATTAACTTGGTAATTTTTTTACTTATCTTTCTTTTCCTATTCTTTTTTAGGTAATACTTTTCACGAAAAATTATCAGTAAAACTTATAAAAATTATTTTATTAATAACTTTTGTTAGTTAACTATGTCAGTTTGAAATTCTATTAAGTGCTATAAATTGCATTAATTTTCTATACTTAAATTTCCATTTTACATTTTCAGCAAATATTTATTAGTTAATAAAAAAATATGAAAGTAAAAATTATCCTTCTTTACATTTTGCGCTCACAAACCATTATGCGAGTTTTTACAATTATTAAACAATTATTAAATTTTACATTTATGAAAGCCTGAAAAACGCATGTCTGCGATGTTATTGTCATGCGATGATTTGTAGGTACTTTACTTTTTACCACGATATTTTCGTCGACAATGTTTTTAAATTGCGAAGTTTTTGAACCGCTTTATTTATTACTTGCTTTTTTTATTAATCAAATTGCAATTTTTTTAGCCTTACAATTTTTATATTTTTTAATTTTTTAAGTATTTTTCTTAACTTTTTGAAACTTTAATGGTAAATTCTTTGAGGTGTTGAACTGTAATCTGGGGATCTCAGATTGTAAATTTTTAAATTGTAGTAGATACATAAATTACAAGATATTTTACCGTTAGTTAATTATGTTTTACCACAGCAGATACATAAATTGCAGAAAGTTTTATCCATAACTTTCTGCTTCGCATTAAAGATGACCAATAAAACACTTCGTTAAATTTCATGTTCACAGTTCATTCGACTATATTCTGGAGGCATTTTATAGAAGTTCTGCGTTTAAAATAAAAAGCAGTTTCTTAACCGTTTGTAACGCAATTCATTTCGATTGCGTTTTTGATTTTTAGAAAACTAAACTATCATGTCATACTTTCGGTCTTCAGAATAATTTCGCTTTTATTTATTTACTTTTTTATTTGCATAGATACTTTTGCCAGAAGGGATACTATAGAAATATTATCAATGCCTTTCGTTCTCAACATTTAAACTTTTCTACTGTCTAATTCTTCTTTTCCACAGTTTTCAATGTTTATAAATGCATTTTATTATTTACTCTGTACTAAAATAAACAGATCTATAACGTATTTCCCAAAAATGGAATTAAATTTATTGAAAGGAAATATTAATAATATCTTTGCGAATTCTTATATTTCCGTTTGATAATCTTGTTACAATTCTTTTCTCGAAATCCGACAGATTTAATTTGAGAATACAATTTTTTTCTTAAACTTTGATTTAATCTGCTATTCACTTTGGCGAAGAACTGGCTTCTCTAGCAACGACAGATCTTATTCCTATTATTTTACCTTCAAACTCTGGTTTTTTATTTCCATTATCTTTCTTCCAGCCTTTTTTTCCAAAACATCAAACTCGAAGAAATTCAGAAGCGATACCTTTCATCATTTCTTTCGCATTTATTTCAAATGAAAAACGCTTGTGAGATTCAAGATCCGCATACTTCAAAAGCAAACAAAATGCATATAGTCTTCCTCCTCCAGTTTGGAAGTAACTCCGAATAAAGGTGGAATTATTTTATTCTTTTATAACTGCATAAAAATGGCAGCTGTTTTCTAATCTAATAATACAAATTTAACAAAAATGTGTGCATTTAATTGACACCTTAAGTTGTTCAGCAATAAATTTATTTCAACAAATATTCAACACTTTTTAAAGTAGTTTTATTGGAAATGTCACAAACAGATCTAATCTAGCGAATCTAATTTCTAGCACTTTAATCTAAAATGTTTTTTTACTGTTGCCACACATCGTTTTTTTTAATAAAATAAGTCTTAATTTCTTTCGCATTGCCAATCAGCTAAGTGAAAAACTATAAACTTCAGATGGAAAAATAAGCTAATTTAAGCACTTTAATCTACAATGTTTTTTTACTGTGGCCACATATCGTTTTTTTTTTAATAAAATAAGTCTTAATTTCTTTCGCATTGCCAATCAGCTAAGTGAAAAACTATAAACTTCAGATGGAAAAATAAGCTAATTTCTAGCACTTTAATCTACAATGTTTTTTTTACTGTTGCCACATATCGTTTTTTTTTTAAATAAAATAAGTCTGAATTTCTTTCGGATTGCCAATCAGCTAAGTGAAAAACTATAAACTTCAGATGGAAAAATAAGCTAATTTCTAGCACTTTAATCTACAATGTTTTTTTACTGTTGCCACATATCGTTTTTTTTTTTTTAATAAAATAAGTCTTAATTTCTTTCGCATTGCCAATCAGCTAAGTGAAAAACTATAAACTTCAGATGGAAAAATAAGCTAATTTCTAGCACTTTAATCTACAATGTTTCTTTACTGTTGCCGCATATCGTTTTTTTTTTAATAAAATAAGTCTTAATTTCTTTCGCATTGCCAATCAGCTAAGTGAAAAACTATAAACTTCAGATGGAAAAATAAGCTAATTTCTAGCACTTTAATCTACAATGTTTTTTTACTGTTGTCACATATCGTTTTTTTTTTTAATAAAATAAGTCTTAATTTCTTTCGCATTGCCAATCAGCTAAGTGAAAAACTATAAACTTCAGATGGAAAAATAAGCTAATTTCTAGCACTTTAATCTACAATGTTTTTTTACTGTTGCCACATATCGTTTTTTTTAATAAAATAAGTCTTAATTTCTTTCGCATTGCCAATCAGCTAAGTGAAAAACTATAAACTTCAGATGGAAAAATAAGCTAATTTCTAGCACTTTAATCTACAATGTTTTTTTACTGTTGTCACATATCGTTTTTTTTTAATAAAATAAGTCTTAATTTCTTTCGCATTGCCAATCAGCTAAGTGAAAAACTATAAACTTCAGATGGAAAAATAAGCTAGTATTATTCGCTACGGAATTTATATTTTATTTTCTTCTTCTTTAGAAAGCACAGATGCAATGCAAAGACTTAAGACTGAGACAAATGAATGAAATTCTCAATGGAATTAAGGTAAGCATTCAGCTTATTATTTAGTCCATCTAAATGGGGAAAAAATTATTTTTGTTACCGGATAAAATTTTATTTAGTATCTTCAACAAATAGGCTGCTCATTAATATGCTGATATTAATACTAATTAAACATTGATTATAAAATATATTTAATTCTGTATACTTGATTAAATAAATGTTTCGAAAACGTTTTTTAAAATTCTTCCAAATGATTCACAGACTGCGTTTCATAGAAAAAGTGTTTGAATTCAAAACAGATAAATTTATGTTTTAAATTTTTAAGCGTAATGCACTGGATACAGGTTTCTGAAAATTAAAGAAAATTAGATATAACAACAAAAATTTGTAACCACTATAAGACATAAATATGTTTTCTAACTTTGCATCTTTTGGCATATATTTACTGTACATATAACTGCTACAGTCAACTCCTGATTAATGAGGCTTAGTCTTAAAAAAATTAAGTTTACTTATTACGGAAGAATGGAAAAATTATTATCGGAAACCATCAGCGTGAAACAAAACTGTTTATGAGAAATATAAAAAGGAAAAGATAAACGAGTGGGATAGCATCAGTGATGGCAGATGATGTCACAGTCATTTATTATAACTTATTTCATCATTTCTGATGATGTTTATTCTTCCATTATTTATGTACAGAATGCATTTTTATTTTCAATACTGATTTAATTTACATAACAAAATAAACGTATTCTCCACATTGAAATCTAAGTAAATTATTAACAATATTTCTGTAATTATAATATGAGATATTCACTTTTCTTGCATTTCTTTTTAAATGCCCTCGGATTAATTGTGAATTTGAGTGAATCATGAATGTCGTTTCTGGTATTACCCTTGTTCACTGGGAATCGATTGGCACAGGTTAAAATCGAGAGATGTTAAATCGATACAGGTTAAAATAACATGCCGAATAACGATTATTGGAGAATTTAAACAAGAAGAAACAGCGTAATGTTTGTAAATTTTGCAGGCAGAGTTGTAGCTAGGTTTTTCAGCGCCCAGGGACAACTGAAGATTTCGCGCCCCCTACTGCTTGCCAAGGATTGAAAACATTTAATTCCAAAATGTCGTAACATCAGTTTGGCGCCCCTTGGATCCTGCGCCAGGGAACAGATGCCCCCTTGCCCCCCTCTAGCTACGCCCCTGTTTGCAGGGCTATTTTCGATGGTTCTGTATTTAAACTATCAAAACTAGTCCTGAAAAATTTACAAACATTACGCTAATTTTTGTTGTTTAACTTCTCCAATAGATCGATACAGGTTTAACTAGTCAGTATGATGAAGAAGAAATCATCGGAACGTAAGAAATAGTAAATTTTCTCTAAGCTAATTAATAGCATCTAATATTTGCAACTATCTAAATCGTGCTATATATAGTTATGCTTTTTTTTTCCTGTAGGTATTAAAATTATATGCCTGGGAATATCCGTTCATGGAGGAAATAGGAGTTATCAGAAAAGGAGAAGCTGTGCTTATCAAAAAACTGGCTTTCGTCAATGGTTGCGTCTTGTTTCTTTGGCTTTCTGCTCCATTTCTGGTAAATGAGTTTTTATTAATGTGTTGTTTTTATAAATCACATACACTGTAAGTATAATAATTCTATATTGGAGCCTATTGATTTTTTAACTATAAGCGCTATACCACCTAAATGCAATAAACATTTAACAGTTTTTAATTTTTAATAGATGATTGTACGCTTCTTAGGAAAAAACATCCAACGGTCTGTATATGCCCTTCCACGCATTCACAATCAATGTTATATTCTAATTTAAAAAATATAAGATATATGAGCTTTTCGAAACTCTGCCTATCAAAATCGATTGAAAGGAGAGAAATTGAGAAATTTGGAGTATCCAGACAATCCCGTTAATAGATGACCAACTAATTACTCGTGAGAAGACAAGATATTCATTAATGCCTACATTGTTCCAAAATACTGATAAGAGAAAGCGTCTCCACATAACAATATTTTTAAAAATATTTCTCCAGCCTACATTTCTGCTTTTATTGTTATCACTGTTCATACAAAAATAAACTTCAGTTAAGGAAAATCCATAACTATTAAAAAAAATCTGAGAGCTTTTAGATTTTATATTACAAAGGGGCTTTTCTTCATTTATACACACGCACGTTTCGAGAGCATTTGGGATAATGTTCCTTTGGGTTAAAAATATTTCAAACGGCCTATATTTAGAATTTCCGATAGACAATCTCGCGCGTTGGAGTTCATTTTTTTTTTCGTACAGTGCTGCCATTGCTCGCTTTGAAATCTTTGAGTTTGTTAATCAAAAATTCATTAAAGTTTCACAAAATTTTAAATAGACAATGAAACAAATTCCAAATTCGGGCGTCCAGGGGCCCATGTTCGGGTGGAGAACTACGTTATTCAAAATTTGATGGCTTTAGATACCGTCGTTTTTTCACTATGCGAGAAACATACATTCGTTCATGCAGATTCTTCGTAATTTAATTTCTTTAAATATAATACAGGGAGATAATATCTGGTGGCAACGATTTAAAAAGTGATTCGCTGTTTATAGTGAAACGCTATAAAATACTGTTTTGAGATTAATAGCTCTTCTGAGCTACCGCCTCTTCGGGCTAAAAATTTTCTGTATTTAATTCAGTAATAACAACATGTTTATCATTTAAATGGGAAAAAGTGGAAGAAGTTTGTTTCATCAGGAAAATACATTATTATTTATATTAAAATAGCACATTTAAATATAATAAATGAATCTAAATGCCATCGAATTCTGATTTAACGACTACAGATTTAACGATTTCTCCATTCAACGAATTTTTTTCTGAATTGCATAGAAAAAAGGGCTTGCGAATGGATTAAACGAATAATTGATCCCACTTTTAAAAAGTTTTGAATATTTTATCTACAAATGATCATCGTTCACAAGCACATAGAAATTACCTTCACATCAAACATTAGGATAGAAGATTTTTTTTCTCCATGAAATTGTATAACTTCTGGATATGGGAATTAATTATTTAGTCAAATGAAACGCGATGCAAAAATTATTAATCAATCATTTATTGAAAGATCTGAAAATGAAATAGCAAACCATGACATTTAAACTCAAAAGTCTTGATTAATTAACTTGAACATTCATAAAATGAGGTTATAAAAAATTATCGCCTTCAGTATTAATTAACAAGTCTGGATAGCAATCGGAAGATCGTGGTTCAAATCCCGATGAAGAAGTACTTGATTTATCTTGTTTCCTGGATCTACAAACCTAATAGTCTTTACAACGCAGCCCAGAAAATGGCGTTAAATATTGATTATTACAAAATACAATGCGATGTGATTTACTTGCTATCGCAGAAGATACAAGAGTTCTGCTAAAGATGATGAAATTTCATAGATCTACCAGCTTTAATATCAGGCATCTAACGGATTTGTACACTGTACGCACCTTATAATATATGGCTGTTCGCACATTTTTTAGACGATTTTGCTTTGCTATAAAAAAATCAACTGCTTGGAATTTTTTTTTAACTGCAGATATTTTTTTGAAAATACAGTTTATCGTCTGTTACATGACAGTTTGGTTTTCATGCAAAATGGCGCTTTTAAAGAAGCAGTGGATGGAATTCTATGCTTGTGCTCATTCCGAAAAAAAATATTCGCGTCTAGTTATTAAAAAAAGGTGTGAAAGCCATGATTTTTTGGTATCTAAAGGAACGACAGTAAAAAAACGCCAAAGTGTGGCTTCAAGAAGAAAAATTTGTCATCTAAGGAAAAAACGGAATGTTTCGAAGATTGCAAAGGTAAGAACTTTAATGTTAAAAGAAAATATATTTTAATGTTAAAAGGACGGCTGCACAATCATTAAAATGCTCAGTGTGAACTGTAAACAAGGTGATTATTTTTGAGTTCTAAAAAGGAGAAAAAACATAACGTGTATCCACGATATATCATCGAGCGCAGTACGCGCTATAGAATTCTTTATGAGAAACATTTATCCGAAAAAAAATTCAAAAAGTTTTTGTCACGATAGTTGAATCTTGGGTGTTTTTAAATGACTGCAATAAAAAGGAGATTCATTTATTATCATCAAAGAGCAGAAAAAATTTTAAAACATAGTTCAAAGAATCTAAATAAAATTTTTTAAAGAGTTTTTATGATGATTGCTGTTTTATCATATAACGTCAAATTAAAAATAAAGCCAATGAAAAAATATTTTAATATTAACTCCACATATTATCAGAAATATATTTTATGCCCAATTTTCAAATATGAAATACCTTCTACTGTTTACTACTTGATACAATTCGACTGTTTCATAGTACTGTGGTTACCATCTTTACCTTGGTAGCCACAATACCATCAAAAAGTAGAATTGTATCAAGACAGAGCAAGCAGACACACGGCAAAATCCACCGATAATTTACTAGGAAAAAAGGAACAAGAAACGGGTATCAAAGCCATATCCTCCCCCCTCCCCCACTCATATCCTTACTAAATCTCATGATCTCATGATGTATATCATGTATCATGATGATCATACTTACTAAATCCCCATGGATTTTTGTGCTTTCGGACTTTTAAAAAGCGGATTCTCTAAAGTTGACCTATTACCTTCCTTAAACTTTGGAAATGTCTTCAAAAGGAATAGCATAAAATATTTCTTCTTAAAAGGTTTTATTGTTTCGTAAATTACATTGTAGAAAGACAGTAATAAATAAGGGTTATGAAGTAGAGCATTTAAAACTCCAAAATTTTAGGTAAAATATTTCTGTAAATACAATGAGAACGTCTAAAACATGTGCGGACAGCTTGTGTAATCTTACAGTAATGAAGCAAGTATTGGGTCCTATATTAAATAGAAGAGGAAATACAGTAAATTACGTTACCGGATGCTATTTTGTACCTGTAGATTGCAAAAGAATTTTAAGGAAATGGAATATTCAATACTTTACCTCTCCTTCCACCCCACGAAAAGGTTTTGAGTAACGGATTTCCCTTTCTAAGAGAATATAAACGCATAATTAATTATAAATTATAATGTCTTCCACTTTATTGATAAAAATAATCAATGAAATAATAAATAATAGACTATAATTGAAACAGAGTAGGCATGAAGAAGATTAGACAGTTGGCTGATTGACTGATTAAGGATAATCTGCCTAATTTCAGCGGATGATATTAAAATTAAATTTACGCAGAATAAAAATTAAAAATAATATTATAGAGCAATTTTATTGAAACTCAGTATTCCTGCGCTCTGCAAGTTCGTATAGATCTACACCAGCAAGGAAGAATTAGGCACTTTATTGAAATAAATCACAGCTCGTACTGCGAGTCAAGCTGTAAATAGCTCAAGAAGAACAACAGAGATAAAGCAAATTCTCACTAACGCACGAAGAAAACCTCACATCTCCAAAATCACTCATAGGGTGAAGTCTACAGCAGTCATCAATAAACAGAAACTCTGAGTCGGGCCACTTTGAGCTGAATATTTCAGCTAATTGAACCGAATTACTGAAAAAAAAAATTGGTTGGCGACATAAAACGTTTCGTCTTCATAGGTTTGTCTTATACTTCTGAAAGCTTCAAGGAAAATCGCTGGTAAGGCTTTAAAAGGGAGTTTTCCGAAAATTTCCTGATTATTGCTAAATTGGCGACAAATAGCTAAATGTTGCCAACTTGGTGACGAAAATTGTTGCCAAAGCCCTCTCAGAAGAGTTGCTGAATCTTTTAATAAGAATTACAAGATCTATAAAAAGCACACGAAAAACAATTTTAAAAGGACCCATAAAATCTGGTTAAATAAAAATACGCTATAAAATTATTACATAATACGCACAACTAAAACATAAATAAACGAAAACAACACAAAAGTATAAAAATACATATAACCAAAATACATTCAAGAAAACAAAATACTAACATAACTTTAAAATAATATTATGAAAACTCTTCTATGTTTTATTATTTATGTTTTATAAAAAGACAGATAATTGTTACCAAATTATGTATTTATAGATCGCCATCAGCAGTTTCGTAGCTTTCGTTTTGATAGACGAAAAGAACAGACTTGATCCTAGCATAGCTTTTGTATCCTTGACACTCTTCAACAAACTCCGCAGTACTACCTCTACCATACCACAAGTCGTCGCAGAGCTAATCCAGGTAAACACAATCTTCTTTTTTTCTTTCCTTTTAGGAATACCACATTATAACATTACTGGAACTTACTCTTTAGGATGAATCGTTCTCATTCCAGCGCCATGAACTTCGTGCCTAAAATGTAATCTTTTTAGTCTTTAGTTAGGTTTGGTTTTGATTTATTTGATTCTGGAAAAGCATGGTACCTAAGTGGAAAAACTAGACCTAACCTAGTACCTAAGTGGAAAAACTAAGAAAACTAGCTCTTAAATCCACGGTACACATGGAAAAGAGCCACAAAAACGCCCATGCAGCCCAAAGTTTTCGCCCAGAATCGAACCCAGGTTGAACTACATGTGTTTAGCGAATTTACTGCTCGGTTGCTGGTTGGTCTCTAACTAATGCAATATTTTAAGAAAGCCTCTTCAGAACACTTTATGAAAAATGAGTTTCAGTATTAAGATAGCTTCAAGGTTTTTAACTAAATGCTTCGAACGGAAAGATTGATATGAAGAAATGAAAGCAAAGACTTCGAACAACAGATATTCAAAGTACTACAAAGTAGATTACGTTCATTATAAAGATGCAGGTAAAGCAAATACAAGTATTACCGATGATATAAAAAAATGACATGATTTCCTCCTAAAATACTTGCGTCTTGGGAAAAAAAAAATTACTTAAGTTTTACGCTATTTCCACCCTTCTGTACATTAACAGTTTTTTTTCCTCATCAAGTTATAACTGCTCATTCAATGTTGTAACCACCCATTTAAAAATCCCAGTTGTTTTTCTACCCAGAACATAGCTTCGAAAACAGTTACGAGTTTAGGACTATCCGGACCAATTCCGGACATCTGGTAACTCTGCCTATCATGCTGTTTCCGTCAAAATGCCATACAGCCAGACAAATGCCTTTTTTTTTATAAGAAACACCGCTTAAGATCTTAAAATCTGCGATAGCTCCTTAACATAGATTCTCAGTCTAAATGCCATTTTGTACCCTGCTTTGTTTATTTATTTATTTATCTTTTTAAATGGAAACGAATCGTAGCATATATTATACAATATGAGTTACCTTTAAACAAAAAGAACTTGATAGCTGTGTGCTTTTGCTGTTATTACAAGTTAGAAAAAAACTTAATATGATTATTTTTCTACTTAGTTTATGCATACAGCCCGATTATACTGAAAGGAATTAAAATAAAATTTATCTGATTATCACCTTGGCATTGCATCTAATCTGAGCGAGGCGCAGAATTTCTTATAATTCTGTTTTTCCTTCACAACAAGGAAAATGGACATTGATAGTGCCCAAAGCAACTCTGTGCCTGACGCCCTTAAATGTGTTAATCGAGCTTTGCTTTTGTCTATTGTAGTGAAAAGAACGAAAACATAAATTTACTGCTCTCATATTTTTTCTTTTAGAGTCGCATAGCTTTTAGAAGAATCACAAGTTACCTTCTCGCTCAAGAATTCAAACAAGACGTCGTAGTGGGAGACACTGCTGTGGGTATGTATTTCAAACTTGTAATCATATAAGAAACTTAAATCTTCCTATACTTAGAAGGGACCTCTTAATAACGGTTCTCGTACTTTCCTGCAGCTTAGCCGGTGTTCGAAAACACAGATAAATGTGCTCAAACCCTTATGAAGATCACATGAAAAAGACAAAAAGCAAACGAAAAAGACAAAAGTTATGAGGCTGTGGGCACTTTTAGAATCGCGCGGCGCTATGCATTTCCACAATGACGTTTATGAAATCCAACACTTTTATGAAATTCACCTTCGCATTCTTGTGTAAGTTATGTGCTATTGCATAATGTTGCTATAATCAGGTCCCCTGTGGAAATGGGCGGTGCCAAAACCAACAAGCTCTATAATGAACATAACTTCTTGCACTGTAAATAATCTGTAACCATATGTTAATGCTATGTCCTATGTGTCGAAGTATGTTGTAACAGTATGATGTTCTATGTCTTATTTGTTGTTAGTACTATGTCCTATGTATACCGTAATCAGGTCCCCTGTGGAAGGGGCGGTACGCTAGAGAGGTAGGGCATGGGGACTATACCATTTTTGTCAATGGCGATGGCGTGGTGCCCCCTGTACTTGTTCCTGTCCTGTCCTGCATAATGTTGCTTGTGGTTTTAGCCATCACTAAACTAGTGCTGATGTTCTCTCTTTCTTGAAATCTGAGATACGCTACTGCACCGTATGCATCGAAAAATATCTGTAACTGCAATGTATCTCCAATCATCTCCACATCAATCGGAAAGTATTTCCTTGCAACTGAAATTCCTTCAGTTCTACTTCAGAGCACCAATTCTCCCGGCTTTTGGCACCAGAAATATGTAGTAACTTATTCCATTACCATCAAAGAGCATTAATTCCAGAGGTAAGTGATAATCCGCCTCTTTATTAACACACACACGATTTCTTTACAATATAATACAAGGATTACAAGCATTATTATTAGGCAAACGCCTTCATCATTATTAGGCTTAACACCTTCGCTCTTTCATCAAAACTAAGTAAGTTACAGAATATCAACAGAGACAAGACATTCGAAGCAACACCTAACGGCGCGAGCTATCAATTTATAACAGCCCCATTACATTCATTTCATCATTGAGTTATTCATTAAACAATGACGAAAAAGAAAATTGAACAATTAAAGGTGCGCCCACTCCCATGAAGAATACTATTCTCAGCTCAGAAATTGATGTTCATAAGGGTGTGGACACCTTCATGCTGGGGTACCCTTTTGAAGGTGCTCGTCTTTTCGACCTGAGATCACTCTGCATGAAGAGGTGAGCATCTTTATGACGGGGCACCATTTTGAAGGTTATTAACTCTATAAACACGCACGAATACGCACATTAAAGGAATAATATTGCTACAAATTTTGTATTTAGTTTGCTATTTTTAGTGGAATTGTAATTAAAATTGTTTTACTTCCCCGTAGAATGTAGCGCGTGACGAGTTTTAAGAGAAAACTACGTCGAAAAAGTGAAAATACAGGAGCACGCGCATTTAATAAATAGATGCCTCATAATTTATATTTAAATTGAATAAATGCAATTGTGTGTTAGCTGTAACTGTAATTCTACTCTTTTGCTTTCCAGAATCCTCGAGAAAATACAAATTACCAGAATGTCCTCGTGCACGATTAAAAAGCTTTATATAATTGAAGAAATTCTACCTTTATATAATTGAAGAAATGTAGTAAATATAATTGAAGAAAAGAAGAGCAGCAGCCGTGAACAAATTAGCAATAACAAATTAGCAATAAGAAAAAATTCGACGCATCCAAGATGAAATCGCCATTCGAAACAACTTAATAATCTAGATTCGACCCATTGATTAATTTTAAGTTTTGGTCTCCAATTTAAAAAGTCATTATTAGCTAAAGCGTTATCTAAATATCGGCATCTTTACGCAAAAATCATATGAGATTAATAAATTTTGAAATGACACAGTTAGAGAGATTTATTGTAGGCAGTTACTATTTTTAAGGTAGAAAAGGAAAATAATTCATAGCTTAAAATAGCAGATGTTACAAATTATTTTTCGGAAGTGTAGAAGTAATGTTAATCATTTTTAAATTACAAACATAACGCTATGTTGAGCAAAGCATTTTTATGGTATCGAAGACAAGTGAAAGATCTTCGTCAATTGCCAACATCTTCTGTTCAAATCGGAAATAAATTTATTGAAACTGAAAATTGTAACAGCTCTGTGGCGTGTTAATGAACATTAAAATAATTTATCACTACTTTTTTCATTAAAGTACATCTTTTAAATCTTATATCAAAATGGTTTAGAATACTCAATTACTCTCCTTGCAAATCTCGTTCAAAATATAATTTCTTATATACAAACTTTCTCCTCTCCTTTTCATAAAGCATCTTAAAAAGCGTTCTTCCTTTCAAACGTGAAGTTATGTTGTATTGTATTTGGGCTATTACGATATATCTTACGGTGCATTCTCACTTTCACTGGAGAATCGAATACCTGCGGGGTGGATAGGAGTGGAAGAGTGTAAAAAAACATCTCCCAGAATACTCAGGGAGAGAGGTAAAAAAATGAATAAAACTAACAATTTCTTTTTCTCCCCCTTTACTTCGCAGGAAATTCCGTAGAGATCGACGGCAGTTTCAGCTGGGCCAATGAAGAGCCTCCTTTCCTGTGTGACGTCACTCTCTCCGTAGGCCGTGGAAGTCTGACTGCTGTGGTGGGGCGCGTAGGTTCCGGCAAAAGCGCCCTCTTTTCCGTTATACTTGGAGAGATGCATTCCACTGGCGGAGCAGTAAGAATAAGAAAGGTAAATCGCATCGTCTTCCGTAAGAGGTCTTTTCAACGAAGTACATCCGAGTTGCTCTTAAATATGCGATAAAAAACCTAAATGTGCTCAAAGACTTTCCGCCTATGCATCGACTTTCACCCACTTACCTATTTACGCTTGAATGCAATTCTGTAGCATAGTTTCCCAACTTGTTTTTTATTCATTTCCCCCTTTTTTCGAGGATTTTTTTTAACTCATTTTCCTCCTACCTTTCAGCAATGATACATAAGGGGAGCTTCTGAATGTGTAGGTACTGAGTGAAAAACGTTTACTGTTTTTAAGTATTAATTACATTTATGCTTCATCAAATTACTAATTAAAACTCACCACCTAGTATGGAAACAGAACGTTAAAGATTAAAAACTTCCCAAAGCATTTTATAGAGTGCCTAACCATGCACATAGTATAAAAGAAATATACAAATGCTTATAAATCGAAAAGTGTCTATTTTCAGCAAGATGCATTTAGTGTTGTTTAATCGAGGAAGTCTTCGATTTCGCGACATCCTTCCTTTCGTTTGTTTTCACGACATTATAACGTAAGCGCTGCTGATGAGAGTAGAGATAGCCAATCAGGCAAAAAAATAATTTTGTGTGCTTGAATAATTTAGAAATAGATTTTTTTACTATTTCTAAGTATACAATATAACTTGTACAATATCGGTTAAGAACATGGTATAGATGAAAATGTGTTCACTCTTTATACTGGTCGCTCAACAGACCAGAACATGGTTGTAGTATAATGGCGACCAAAAACGTCTGGACATAATACTGTGCGACTATTTCCTGTGAATACATCAATGAACATAAATCATTCATAATCTTTTTCCTTCGCTTTCTACAAGTCTGGACTATCTTAAATAATTCATTGCAATACATTACGACTGCTGCCGCTACTGACAGGGATGTGCTGAGATCTGTTTGAGTAAAACTTGACTATCACATTGATATCTGTCCTTTCATAAAAGATCAAACATAAAACATTTCTAACTTAGCCATGTAAGCTTCTGGATATATACTTCTAACCGTGCTACTCAAATTCTTTTTGCAAAGCTTTGAAGGTATCCATTTCTTTTAGCCAAACTTGTATTGAAAGTACTTGCTATTTGCGTTCATGCGTTGGAAATCATTGTATATCGTATTTAAGGTCATGTTTTTTATAATATTAGACTGGAGGTTTAAATTTCATTCACTTGAATGGAAAAACAAAACTACTATATGCAACTTGGAGCAACTAATGCGAATGATCAAAAGTAATGGCGTCTTTTGCCGCCTGGGACGATCCGCTTCTCGCCTCTCTTTATATTTTAAAAATAAAACATTCATTCCAACATTCTAAAATGCTATTATGCTGGTTTTTCTGTTAGTAGAATCTTTTATGGCATCCTAGAACGGGGGTTTCGAACAGGCTCGATATTGACTCTTGGTGGTCAGGGAAATTTTAAAAAGACCAGTGAGTCGTTTGGAGAATATGCACCGGCAATGATCGACATAATCAAGATCCCATTTCTTACAAAAAGGAATGAGTTAATAAAATTGATAATTATTGTTTATCTATATAAAGCTCTTTCATATGATAAGAATGGAATCATGTAAAATAAATATAAGGGGAAAATACACTAAAATTATTTAATAAATTTTAAAATCCATACTATTTTTAATATATAAAATTTTTATGTAATATAAAATAACCGCAATATAAAAAAGAGAACACAATAACACAAAACATAATAAACAAAGCTCATCTGGACACCACATGACTTCTTTGTAAGGCCTATTAAATTATACACATTTTCTTCTTGCAATTCATTTAAATTTATTTCTTCGAATTTCATTACAGATATAATCTATTTCTCATTTAATCAGTTCAATTCTCACTTCGTGGCAAGGCGAAAATACATAAAAATTTAAACCGTTCTTCGTTAAAAACCGTAAAGCATATTTTAAAAAAAAATTTAGCAATTAAAATTAGAGTTTCAACGAAAAAACAAGCAATTCGTCCAACGGCATGCGACATGCGACGGGGGACGTGGGCACCATCCCTTTACCGTCGGTTAATTGGTGTAGCGCCACGTCCACCAATATCTAGAGTTGAACCTAAAGTCTTTCAAAAGAGCAATTACATGGTCATACAAAGGCTGTTAATAGCGCCACGTCCACCAATATCTAGAGTTGAACCTTGAGTCTTTCAAAAGAGCAATTACATGGCCATTATCTAGAGTTGAACCTTGAGTCTTTCAAAAGAGCCCATGTATGGCCTTGTATGGCCATGTAATTGCTCTTTTGAAAGACTCAAGGTTCAACTCTAGATATTGGTGGACGTGGCGCTACACCAATTAACCGACGGTAAAGGGGTGGTGCCCACGTCCCCCGTCGTATGTCGCATGCCGTTGGACGAATTGCTTGTTTTTTCGTTGAACGGCGGAAAGACAAAACTTTCGGTGAACAAAAATTTTTTATTTTGGTCCCACTGGGGGATCTGAAGTTAGTGCACCAACTGACATAATTCGCTCAGCTACTAAGAGTTTCAAATGTATACAAATAGCGGCCATGTTAGGCTTAGTACCACTTAACCTTTTAAGTTGTTGATAATTCTATAATAATTGAATCCAGGTTAACTAAAGGCGTAAAATCTCTAATCGGAACATAAGAACAACATAATTCAATCACTTTTATAAAGCATAAAATGCACAGTTTACCAAAATATAAGAATAAAAACACAGAGCCGGGTAAGAGGATGGCCATATTTATATACTATGTTTGGTTTGATTTTGAGACTACATCATCAAAGCGATAACGCTTTTTCATAATACAGCAAAATCAGGAAAAGAACTTTTTCTTTACAATTTAGTTTTTAAACATCAATTAATCAAGCAAAAATTGAATACCAATATTTATTTTAAAATATTTGCTTCTTCTCTTCATATTATGTATACTTTTACAATTACATTATTTTGAGTCTTTCCTTGCAAGTTAGGTCAGTTCCCCCAAAATAGTACCTCTTGTGCCATGTCCGAGGATGACCTTACAATGAGATCTGACTATACAAATCCAGTATTTATTTATTTTGCTTTAAAAAAACAACAACATTATCATTATAAGGGCACAGCCCCGATCCTCCTAGACAGCATAAGCCGGCCATATGATCAAAAAATGGAACTGACCAGGAAAAAAAAAAAAAAAAAAAAAAAAAAAAAAAAAAAAAAAAAAAAAAACATGTCAAATTTGATTGTTCATTGTCCTTTTTATGTTCCAGTAATTTTATGTGCAAAATAATTTCTTAAAACTTCGCAGTTTCTGTGTTCGAAACTTCTAATTTCGAAGTTTTCTTTTCCAGGGAAATCGCTTGGCGTATGTGCCCCAGCAGGCCTGGATACAAAACAGTACAGTGCGCCAGAATATACTTTTTGTGCGACAGATGGAGAAGAAGCGATACAATGATGCACTCGACAGGTGTTGCCTTAGACCCGACCACAAGGATTTACCTGGAGGAGATCTCACTGAAATTGGGGAAAAGGTATGTTGCTATTATATTTGTTTTTTTCTTTCTAAATTTTTTATACTTACTTATCTCTTAAAAAAAGTAACCTACTTTTAAATTTCACATTCTGTTATTAAATATATATTCCATTTTCTCGACTATTTTGGGCCATGGAGGAGAAAGATTTTAAAAAAATGTATTCAAAGTACAACACACAGTAAATGTTGGATAGAAATGCGTTAATGTCGAATCACAACAAATATGCCAAATTATCGTCCTTTAAAGATAATGCGGTTAAAGCAATGTTGCTCACGTAACTTCATAGTCAAAAATAAAGGTAAGTAACCTAATAGGAAGGGGGCATAAATATCCAAAGTTTTATTATTGACTGCTGCTTCATTAGAGTTTAGTCTAAACGTTATCAAAACGTTGTTGTTATGGGGGTTTACACAGTAGTGTATTGGTTAACATGGGAAGTTGTACTGCTTGCTCGGTAGAAAGAAAAAATCTGATGTGTACACCACATGACTTCCTTGGACAGAATATTAAATTATACACATTTTTCTTGCATTTCATTTAAACTTATTAGATTGAATTAAACCTACTTCGCCGACATCGCATAAACCACAATAGAATAAATGCATTCTTTAAAATTCACTTTGTTTACCATAGCGACACTCTGGCGCTAGGTTCACATAACAGTATTATATTTCGTTCATATTATAACTCAGAATGCACAAAATGTATATCATTTAAAGAATTATCTAATCGTTGCCACATGTTCTATCCAAATACTATAATAAAGCTAGAGCGATGTATAAAAGAAATTAAGCAAACAAAACAAAAAAGAAACAGTTTTCACAGACGATTGAGTATTTCTCATTCAATTAATTCAGTTTTCACTTCGCGAAAAGGCAAAAATACATAAAAACTCAAAATATCTCTATTAAAAATTACGAAGTAAATCTTAAACGCTTATTTCCTCGAAAAAATTCCAGAAAGGATTAAGCATGATTTAAATAATAAATGAAGGCGTTATCTTTGTTGTTGCGAAGCTAAGTTTCTCTAGATTGGCAACTAATCCGCTATCCTGCTGTTTCAAATGTAAACAAGAGCAATTGCTGCCATCAAAAACATTATTAGGCTTAGCGGCACTTAACAATTTTAAAATTGTTGATAATTCTAAAAATATTTTATACAGATTTACTAAAGGCATAAAATCCTTAACCGGAAGATAAGAACAACATAATTCAATCATTTTTAAAGCAAAAAATGTACAATTTACAAACATATAAAAATAAAGAAACTGAGATCACTGTGCCGGGTAACAGAGTGGATATATATATAAATATATTTATATACGTTTGGTGCGGCCGATTGCAACCAAAATACGAGGTGCACATCTACTTGTTATAGCAGTCCTATATACAAAATTTCAACGTTCTGAGGATACTCGTTTTTGAGTTATGCGAGATACGTACGTACGCACATACGTTCGTACAGACGCCACGAAAAATTCTTTTTCAGAATTCATTTTAAAGCAGATTTATAATTTTTTTGAAGGTAAAGAGTATTTTTTTCTGTTCTTACGTACAGATATGACGCAAAAACATCGTTAAATTGCATTCGATACCGGTCAAAATAGATATTTTCGTCTAAATATGCTGCCTGAAACTTTTTGCGATTACAATACTTTCCTTTTACTTCGTACAAGGAAGAAATAAAAAGAGGAACTCGGAATAAGTTTTCTGTGTTGAATTTTTGTCGGACTAAAATTCTGCAATATTGCTGAACATTTTTTTTTTTTTTGTCTTTTTTGTTTTTGCTTTTGGTGTGTACGTTTAATGTATTGGTGAGAGAGCATTTAGCAGGTGCATTTGTAATGATATTTAATCAACTTTTTGCTGTGAAATCATTATTCTTAACGCCCGAAGTTTTTTCAAAAAAAGTTGTTCACATGATTCCCAGATTCTATTTTTCTTTTCTCTTTTAATTTAGGACTATTAATTTCGTTTTGGCATTTTACGTCAAAACGAATTTTATAAATGGCGAATCACTTTTCAAATTGCTGCCATCAAATATTATCGTCCTGTGTTATATTTAAAAAAAAAAAAAATAATGAAGTATCTGCACAAATGTGTGTATGTTTCTCGAGTTGAGATGAAACAACGGTACCTAGAGCCATCAAGTTAATCTTTAACCGAATATGGGCATCTGGAAGCCTAATCTGGAATTTATTTTATTATCGATGTCATATTTTGTGAAACTTTACAGAATTTTTTATTAACAAACTCAATGATTTCAAAGCGAGTAATGGCAACACTGTACTGGGGGGAAAGGGAAATTATCTCCAGCGCACGAGACTGTGTATTGGAAATTCTAAAGATATGCTCATTTTAAAATTATTTTGCGACATTACTGTTGAATTGAATTTTATGGTTTAAGTGCGAAGAACGTGACATTTAATACAGGGGCAAGTGCATTTAAGATAGAGTAAATGGACATCTCGGTAATTTGGCGGGATATCGCCAAGCTGGTAACTGTTTTGGTGACTTATTTTGCTACCTAGTTTGACGAGAAATCTCCAAAAGTCGCCAAAGGCGACATTTGGGTCCGGTCCTTGTATCACCGTAATGGGTATTGTAACTGAATAAATGTAATTGATCACCATATTTGCTGCAACCGTAATTCGACCCTCATTGCTTTCCAGTAATTTCGAGAAGCAAAATGTACTAAAAATATCTCGGTGGCTGGGTGAAAACTATATAAGGTTATAATATATAACTATATAAGGCTGAGAGCATCTGCTTCCAGTTGATATTGTTGTAGCGAGCTGTTAGTTTACCGTGAACTGAGATATCTACGTGTTAGCTTTCTCTTTAGGGGCACTTTACATTGCGTTGTGTTTAACGTTCTTAGTAGCAGAGTCGTAGCTAGGGTTTTCAGCGCCCAGGGACAACTGAAGATTTAGCGCCCCCTACTGCTTGCCAAGGATGAAAAACATTTAGTTCTAAAATTCGTAACATCACTTTGGCGCCCCTTGGATTCTGCGCCCGGGGACAGATGCCCCCCTTGCTTCCCTCTAGCTACGCCCCCGCCTAGTAGTTTGAAGTGTAACTACTGACTGTACTCTGCAATACTCTGAACGCCTATACGAGTATTTCTGTGGAAAATTTCAGAACTTTAAAGGTGTTTCATTTGATAAAAATAAATTTTATTAACCTATCATCGGACCTGTGTGCATTCAATCTATTGCGAACCCGTACGGAGGCAACAATAATATTCAGCTTTTAGTGAATTATTAAAGTCATGTTTCTTATTTATTCCTTTACAAACGCTTTCATCAAGTTTTGAAAATACTTTAAATAAAAAAAGGTAAAGAAAACAAATAATATATGAATGCGAAATTTTAAAACAAAGGATTAACCGAAAGTAGACGGGAAACTAATTGCCGAATCTTTCCGAAAACTATAGAATCAAATCTTAATAGTTGCATCGTATGGCAGGAATGCTGGTGAATATGATGCCAGGTTATCGGAAAGGCCGATAGCGGATTTTACTCTAGACGGACTTTTACTGTAGCATGCCTGAATAATTTTAGCAAAACACGAAAGCTACACCATCCTGTGGTATGCTGCTTATTTTCCCAAGGTATTTGCTAGAGATTTTATTGCATTATATTGGTTGATATTTTTGCAAATAAAAGAAACATAACCTCTAAGACCATAAATGTCTACTTCTTTAATACTTCTTCTGCGACTATGTTGAGTGTGACTGTATGTCTGTGAAGTGTTGTTTACTTTATAGTTTATAACATTTCTCATTCACAAGTGTTGGTTTTTGACGCAAGGTAAACTATCGCTGCAGAATTTATAACAGCCTATTAATATTACTTTCAGAGTGCTGAAAATTTTGGAAAATACTTTAATTTAACCACTACTATTAATTTAGTGAATAATTTCATACTTATTGTTTCGTGTATTTCTTTTACTGATATTCTGTTATATTCTAGGGTGTCAATCTGAGCGGTGGCCAAAAGCAAAGAGTCAGCCTGGCTCGAGCTATATACCAGGATGCAGATATTTATTTGCTAGATGATCCTCTGAGCGCAGTAGATGCACATGTGGGAGCTAAAATTTTTAAAAATGTCTTGGGACCACAAGGAATACTGAAAAACAAAGTAAGGATATTTTGATGGTTTCTTAGTAATATGCACAGGTCCATATTTCAGATTTTCTTAATTACATGAGATTCTTCCTAGTTTTATAAAACTTATGTGGTATCCGAGTATCAAAACAAACAATCTTGATTGACATACATTTTATTTTAGAAGAAGAGCTTTAAGAGGATCAATATTATCCTTTTCATCAGCTGCAAAATGAATGAAAGAGAAAAATACCACAAACAGAAACAGACGAATAATCTAGAATTTACTAACAGCTAATTATTATGCTCTCTATATTGGAATCCCTTCCAATACAGAGAACATAGAGGAAAATAACGAAAAGAAACAAAGTGGTGTCATTTGGGGACTGAAAATGAAATCAGAAATAATGTATTTATACTTGGGTGGGGAAAACTGATTAAAATTTGAATGTAGAAGGACTTTTATGGATATGGAAAATTTTTATGTGTATGGAAAACTCAAAGAAATCTGATTCACCCACTCAGAAAATTCTTGACTGATTTTGGCAGACGCAAAATTGAATGTGCAGCCCAACATTGCTGAGCAACAGAAGATTTACTTATTTCCTGTCTGAACATAAGACTTGAATATAATATATTCATTGGTACGAAATTTCAAAGCCCATTTTGTTTGTCCAATGTAATTCAAACTCAACTCAATTGGAATGCTGTAAATTTTCAAATAACTTAGTCAGGAATAGAAACTTTCAAGATTTCTTTTCAGTAGTTGAACTGAATTACCGTTATATAAATTATCCAACGATTTAGTATTTTTGCTCTGTATCTTTGATTCACAGATAGCAAAACTCCATGATGGCCATAAAATACTGATATTTTCTGTTTAGATACCTTTTGCAGTAGAAACTATTCCTTGTGAAATATTTGGTGATGTAAAATCTCGCATGTATGCTTGATTAGCATAAAAAAAAAACTATTTTTCTATATCAACAAAATGTGGAAAATTAAAACATATGAATATTTACAACGAAAATCAATTGAATTTTGAAATCCCCAACCATCAGGAAAAGTTTACCAGCAGTCACTAGAATGAAATGTGAACATTGACATGTGCATGTGGAACTTTACTGTCCAGTGGCAGAACAAGACGATGCTTTTACATGGAGCACTTTCATTGTTTACGAAAAATATAGTTTTTAATTTGTGATTCTTTAATCTGAGTTTTGATTATCTATTTGAAAAAGGAACACGAATCTAAGGTACTAGGAATCAAGCTTCTATAAGATTGGACGACGAATTCTCGGAACACTCTTTCAAGCGGAACATTTCTACGAACTTTGCTCACGTAGCTAGTTTTTTAATCTTCGATGCGTAGCACCAGTCAGACTTAAAGCAGAAGTACTTTATAGCTTTCTTCAGTGCAATAAGGCTTCACTGCATTCTCTACATTGATTCTAATTCTCAACCACATCCTTCGATTTAATTTTAGCACTACAAAGATCCTTAGAAAGTCTTTCCAAAATTGTAGAACTGTTGCATTAACTCATATGGTTAAATTACGTTACACTGTTATACATGTATCAAACACGCGACATTCGTGGTGCAACGGTAGCACACTCGGCGCATATTCGAGAGGTCCAGTTTCGACTCCCGGCGAGGGCATTGCTCATTTTTCTGGTTTCGTGCTTCAAAAATTCCTAATGATTCTAAATGGCGCCATAACTAAAAGGTGATGGACAATAATTCTTCACCACTAGGATTTGGCGATTGGGTCCCTTAATTCCCAGTCGCCCTTTGGAGTGTATAAGGTATTGTTACTTTTGTATAAGTTATTGTTTAAAAGGTGGAGTGTATAAGATATTGTTACTTTCTTTTTCTTTTCCTTTGGTACGCTCGTACGAGGTTCGTAGATTTGGAGTGAATAACGACGACACTTGATGAAATATCGAAACACTTTATTTAGCCAATATTAATCATGACAGCTCCAAAGCACTTTTACAGTCGTCGAAGATCTACTATAAACACGCTGGAATAATCAGCGACACATCCTTCACACTGTCAGGCAATAACGGTAGAGACAGCTTCACTGCAAAGCACCAGAGCACAGTTCCAAACTCTGTTCGGTCGTTCTCGGAACTCCACGTACTCTCGAGACTCTCCAAGCGATGCAACTCGCGATGCACCGGACGACACACAGAGCACAGCTCCCGAATCTTCGGTTCAGGGGCTCCCGGAGCTCAACACGCTTTCTCAACGATGCGCTAACCGCGATACACTAAGAGACTCTTCGATGCACTCGACGCCCCACTCGGCACTCTCTGCCCGGCTGTCAACTGAATAACTCAAGACACTGTCTCGCACTTGACGAAGCACACTAACTGTCCACGTGCCAGCAGGTTTATATAGACAACATTTTGGGCTAAACTGGTAAAAATTCGTTCCAGAAGGTTCTCCAGCCGTCCATGGAATATCGCCAATTTTGTCGCCAAATAGGCGATTTCTCGCTAAATGTGGCAATCTTACCTTCCTTTGCTATTTATGGCAACCCTACACCTGCTTTGCGGGGAAGCTATCTTACCGCGCGTGTACATTTCGTAACAGTATTTTCTCCCTCCATCCAGCATGCCATCGTGGATTAACGGTAGCACGCTCGGAGCGTATATTTGAAAGGGCCAGATTCGAGTCTTGGCGAGTGCATTGCACATTCCTGCTTCAAAAATTACCTAATGACTCTACATCTTGTCCATACGCACCACTGACTGTCAAATTACTAGTTTCCGTCGGTTTGATTTTATTTAATAATCTAAATAACTGTTACATTTTTAAACACTTTTAATTTATAATATGTGAAAGTGGGAATTTTTTAACCCGGAGCGAAGTTTAATGTTAAGCTGCAGATGTCCAACTATTATGTGTTTGATGTGGAATACTTTAGTTTTTAAAATTATTGTAATTTTTAATTTTTTAACTTTTACTTTTTTTAAATTTATTTATTTACTCAATTATTTAACTTTTAGAGATTTTTATTCCTAATCTCTTTTTTCAGGTATTCAGTTGTAATGAGAAATTTTTCAGATTTCATGTATTTATTTATTCATTTATTGATAGACTCGCATTCTCGTTACTCACGATTTGTCCATATTACACGAAGCAGACGCCATCATCCTTATGTCCGATGGTAAAGTAGTAGAATCTGGAACTTACAAGGATCTACTCGAACAAAAAGGCGAATTCGCACGTCTGATTGAGGAGCATTGTAGAGAACAGATGGATAGTGATTCAGATAATGATAAAGACCGCAAGAACAGGTATATTTTTTGTTTTTATTTAAGGCAGATATAAAGTATTTAGCATTGCACTGATATAAAAGGTCTCCGACAGTGACTGATGAGAATTTTTTAGGTTTTTGTAAAATATGTATTACTTGAAATGGATTGGAAATGCTTTACGTAATTCACTTAAAGACACAACGAACGAAATTAACTGGTTTTAGTATGTGCATTATTAACGGGTCCATACTCTGGCAATAAACGTTTGGTGTAATTGTCACTTACTGGCGATCGTCTACTTGTTATGATTATCACTTTTTCACGGTAAATCCCCCCTTTTTTTGGTCCAAAGGGGCCTTTGTCCCTAAAGGACTATTGCTTTCGTTTGCGATTTTGCGAACGCTATCAACGGCATACCATTTTTCAAATTGCTGCCACCAAACAATATCGCCCTGTATTATATTTGGCAAAATTAAATAATGAAGAATCTGCATAAATGTATCTATGTTTCTTGCATTGTACCTAGAGCCATCCAGTTTTGAATGACGTAATCCTACTGCGAATATGGTCATCTAAAAGCCCAGATTTGAAATTTGGAATTTCTTTTATTATCGATTTCATATTTTGTTAAACTTTAAAGAATTTTTGATTAACAAGCTCAACGATTTAAAAGCGAGCAATGGCAACACTCTACGGGGAGCGTAATGGCAGACCGCACATTGAGTTGAACAGTGTTAAACGAATGTCGCATACTGCGCATGCCCAGAAAACAATTTGGCGTAATTACTATGTTGGCGCGATTTGAAAAGAAGATAAATACGGTATATGGTAGATGTACCGCCATCTGATTGTAAACAAATCTGGCGTTTAAATCTTCGTAGAGTATAATGTAAATGTAAATTAATTACTGTGTTAAAATACTATTTTTTTGCTGTACTGCTCAAACAACTAGAAAGCTGAAATTATTGCGAAGTAATGTGAAGCAGTGTTTGCATTCAAATGTAAAAATATAATACCTATGAAATTCTGCACATTCTTTTGGAACTGTACAAATTTTCGTTCAAAAAAGACTGAAATTTAGGATATATTAGTTGAAAATTTATTCATTATACTTTTAAGCAATAAAAAACAATTCGGGATTTACCATACGTTCCATTCGTACATACATAAAGAAACACTGAGGAATATAACAAGTGCTTGCAAATAACACTGAAGAAATTTTAACAATTCTTTAGTGCTAGTTATTAAATTCTTTGAAATGAAGAAAATAAAAGCGCGAACATACGCTTAACAGAACTAAGCGAGATAAATCCAGTTTACAATTACTGAATTATAACATATAAACAAATTACATCTAAATAACGAATTATGGCACGAACATATGTTAACAAATATTAAATGCACTGTTAATAAAAAATGACAAATTAAAATGATTAGAAAAATAGGCAAGTGCAATCGGTATGGACGTTAAAATAAATAATAAGCAAAGTTCCACATCACTGCAGTTGTAAACATCACTTCGACCTCACTCGGACAGCCATGGAGATCACGAATAAGCTAGCGTAGGGTTGCTTAGTCGCCAATATTTCTCCGCGCCAAGGTACACCATGAAGCATGCGCAGTAAGCGAAATTTGCTTAACATTGTTCAACTCAATGTGCGGTCTGCCATTACGCCTACGGGGAGAGGGTAAACCTTTTTATCTCCAGCGGCGCGGGACTGTGTATCGGAAATTATAAAGATAGGCTCATTTTAAAATTATTTTGCGTCATTGCTGTTGAACTGAATTTTATGATTTAAGTGCAAAGAACATGGTATTTAATAAATAAAGGTAACACACAAAACGTTAAAAAAAGGCCCTTTAAACGTAATTTAAAATCAGATTTTTTTTTTTTTTTTTTTTTTTTTTTTTTTTTTTTAACGAAGCCATAGAGAGCGAATTACAAGGTCTAAGATCAGGTCTTGTTACAGTACACGGAATAGATCTATTTTTGCACACCACCGTCTTGGAAATCGATAATTCAACTCGTCTCTCACTTCGTTTCCCAAGTGAGACGCAGCGAACCGCAGCAGGCTTTGAGAGAACAGCGACCCTATGAAAATATCGAATGCAGTATGCGAAGTTTAATGGGATCACGGTTAATGTTTTTATCATTCGGATATTGTTATCGAATTGCCGAAGCGTTGCCTATTTGTATACGTAAACATGGAAAATACATCCCTTATTGTAATCAACAGATGGGTTAATGTTACCAAAATGTTATGGAATGAAATTTTCATATTGAAGTAGTAACGCCAAATAAAGTCAAAATAAAAAAATGGGATCGTCAAACAGCAGAGTTATGTTGCCAAATAAGGAATTAAGTTACCAAACATCTTCATTTTCATTTACGGCAACATTAAAGTCTTGGAACCGTGCACCAGAAATGACAATATAAAACTGTCTTAAGCATGCTAACCTTTCATAAATTATAAAATAATAATAATAATAATATTATATATATATATATCTGAAAGCTTTCAGATTTTATATTGCTCCCAAAGGTTTCTTCTCTTTTCTTTACTTCTTTTTTTCCTTCCCCCCTTTTTTTTTAACCCATTTACATACGCATACACATTTTGAAAGCATTTGGGCTAATGTTTCTTTGGCCTAAAAATACTTAGAAACGGCTTATCTTAAAAATTTCGATAGACAGTCTCGCTTGCTGGAGATAAAAATGTTCTTTTTTTTCCCTCTCCCGCACAGTGTGGCTACTGCTCACTTTGAAATCGCTCAAAAACTCGTTAATGTTTTTACAAAATTTTAAATACGCAATAAAATATTTAAAAACAGTATATCTTCAAAATTTCAGATACACAGTCTCGCGCGCTGGAGATAAAAACGTTTTTTTCCCCGTACAGTGTTGTCATTGCTCGCTTTGAAATCACTGAGTTTGGTAATCAAAAATTCGTAAGTTTTACAAAATATGGAATACACATTAAATCAAATTCGAAATTTGAAATTCAAAATTCGGGCTTTCAAGAGTCGATATTCGGGTGAAGGACTACGTTATTCACAATTTTATGGGTCTTGGTAGTGTTGTGTTTTTACAATGCGAAATCCCGATACATTCATGCAAATTCTTCATTATTTAATTTCTTTAAATATAATATAAGGTGATAATATTTGGTGGCAACAATTTCAAAAGTGAACCGACATTTATAGTGATTCAAAGCAAAATCCCGTTTTGAGACTAATAGCCCTTCTGGGCTAACGCTCCTTTGAGCTATCACTCGCAGCAGACGGGAGGCACTATTCTTTTGGTAGTGACGGCTGGCGAGGGTATTCAAATGATAACTAAAAGAACAGCAGAGCTTCTTGGGAAATGGAGATGTATTGTAATTATTTTCTAAGACCACACCCAATAAAAATTATTCTTGACCATTCTAGACCAATGAAATAATTAAAAAAAAAAAAAAAAAGAAAAGAAAAGAAAAGAAAAGAAAAGAAAAAGAAATCTGAAAAAGATGAAAAATTAAAAACTTCTCCAACTACCATAAATGGCGAAGAATTTAATACCTAAATGGATATCGATGGAAAACCTCAAACTATACAGATTCAGTGACGAATAAGGTATCTGCCTATCGTTTTCTGAAATAAATTCAAGCACATCATGAGATGAACTTTCTGAAGAAGTCGATGAATTTCCTACAAATGCTGAGATGAGTATTTAGATCAGAATATTTAGTACATGAGAGTTTTTATGAGTATTTTAGATTTTGGAGTTGCAACGTCGGTCAAATAAACAATTTCCAGAAAAATTTTACACAATTCAAAAAATAAGCTTTTGCGTAAGAATTCCAGACAATCAACTGTTATGGATTTTTCCAAATTAAAATGCAATAAAAGTAATTATTTATGTTTCTAGTTATATTCATATTAAATTAGTTAAATTCCATTAATATTTCGAAAAATATTTTTACCATTGCTTAATGTTATTATTTGGTTAACGTTATCAAAATAGTCGTGGACAAACGTGATCACATTAAGCGGCGTCTATTGAATGTTCATGTATCACACATGGCTTTTCAGAGCCCCAAATTCGGCAACCGTAGTCATTTACACAACCGTTTATATCGAAGGTTGCCGCCTCTCGGAGGAGGGTATTTTTGAGAAATTCTAGTTCATTATCTGTCTCCGTAGCATGCTGACAGCGTAGATAACCTTAAGTTTTTTTGTCTTGCAGTTCGACTGAATGCAACACTCAGATTTTTTAGGCATGCAACCTCACTCTCTTTCGCATAAGAGTTAATCCTGAAATATCTAACTGTAAATTACGAAGTGAAATGGACCACGAATAATTTGAATTAGCGAGAGTTTATTATACATTGGTATTTCGTTTACAACAAAGCATATTAACATAATCTTTTTGAATGATTCAATTAAGTAAAAGTACTTCAGTCCACAGAGCTGGATTTAGACTTGATATTTGAGACATGGCACCCTTCTCAAGTTCAGATATTATATGTCAGGGGCAAATATGATTTTCGGATGTCTAGAGAGATTTTTGGGGCCCGCCAAGAAAGCGGAGGCCCTAAGCTCTTCCCCCCTTTTTTTTGGTCCGTTTTTTGTTTCTTTGCTTAATATGGTGTAGGAAACACGTTGGCATCCAAAACAGCTTGCAGTCTTCTCGGAATGGATAAATACAGTTCCTGTATGTTTGCCAAGGGAATATTATACCATTCTTCCTGCAAAACGGTGGCAAGTTCAGATAACGATGTTGGCGGTGGATAACGAGAACGCACTTTCCGTTCCAATGTAGACCACAAAGGTTCGATAATATTCAGGTCTGGTGACTGTGGTGGCCAGGGGAGATGGGACAACTCATCCTCGTGCTCAGAAAACCAGTCCTGGACAATGTGAGCTGTGTGAAGAGGGGCTTTGTCGTCTTGGAAGACACCATCACCATCGGGGAACAAAGTTTGTACGATGGGATGAACTTGATCGGCCAAAATATTCACATAAGTCTTGGCAGTCATGTGCCCTGACACAGTTATCAT